AGCAGCGGGGAGCTGGATCGGCAGTGGGGCAGCCGGGACTCCAGCCGTTGTTCATATGGCTTAACCAGCTGCACCACCATACCAGCCCCTCCTGCAGGACTTTTTTTAAGATTTATTTTTATTTATTTGAAAAAGAGTTACAGAGAGAGATTTTCCATCCTCTGGTTCACTCCCCAAATGGCTGCAACTGCCAAAGATGCACCGATCTGAAGCCAGGATCCAGGAGCTTCTTCCGGGTCTCCCACCTGGGTGCAGGGGCCCAAGGACTTGGACCATCTTCTACTGCTTTCCCAGGCCACAGCAGAGAGCTGGATGGGAAGTGGGGCAGCCGGGACTAGAACCGACGCCCATATAGGATGTCGCTGTAACACAGCGCTGGCCCCTCCAACAGGGTTTTTTGGTTTTTGTTTTTGTTTTTGTCTTTTTTTTTTTTTTTTTTTTTGACAGGCAGAGTGGACAGTGAGAGAGAGAGAGAGAGAGAGAGAGAGAGAAAGGTATTCCTTTTCCATTGGTTCACCCCCCCAATGGCCGCTGCGGCTGGTGCGCTGCGGCCAGCGCACCGCACTGATCCGAAGCCAGGAACCGATGCTTCTTCTGGTCTCCCATGTGGGTGCAGGGTCCAAGCACTTGGTCCATCCTCCACTGCACTCCCGGACCACAGCAGAGGAGCTGGCCTGGAAGACAGAATCCGGTGCCCCAACCAGGACTAGAACCCGGGGTGCCGGTGCCGCAGGCGGAGGATTAGCCTAGTGAGCCGCGGCGCCTGCCCCAACAGAGTTTTAATGAGGCCTCTGGCCTGGATCAGTACGGGTTATCCAAAGACGTTTAACTGGATCCAGCCAAAGAGACCTGCTGCCCTCATCAGCCCCCTCTAAAGTGTGTCCCTCCCCTGTGCGCTTCTGGAAGTCTGCCCTGGGAGCAGGGGGAGCAGGCTGGCCTCCCCTCTACTGGTGCTATCCGTGGTCACTGCAGAGAGCTGGGGGTGAGGCCTGCTCTGTTACTGGAGCCACTCCCCTCCCCCAGCCCGGCCACCCCACCCATCTCACCTCCCCCTGTCTCCCTTCCTCTCAGCCATCCCCTCCTTTCTCCTCCTCTTCCCCTCTCAGGATAAAGAGCAAATATTCCATTGCCCTGCTTTCTTCTCCCAGCTCCCTGCTGCTCCTGCCCGCTTTTCCATCTTTCCCTCCCAAATTCCTGAACGCCTTTTCTCTCTCTCCCCCTCCCCTTTTCCTCCCAACTCATTTCCCATTAATCATTTCTAACACACATCTGCTTGGGTCCTAGAAAGATTTCTTGGCTCACTCTCACAGCTGGGCTGGTTACAATAATCAAGGATTCTTTCATCTTTGTCTCCTAGGTCTCCCCTCTTCCCAGCTCTTCCTCCCACAAACACGCCTACAAAAGCCAGCCCCTCTGCAGAGCAGCTCACTTCTGTTTTCTTTCTGCATACCGTGAAGTTGCCCTGCACTGTTAAAGGTGATGCCGGCGGGGACAGCCAGGTCATAATGTTCAGGGGCCGGCAGGGGCAGAGCCCACCGCAACAAAATTAACAGAGAGGGGGGAGGCGGCAGCACTTTGGTGCAGCAGGTTAAGCCACTGCCTGCAGCGCAGGCATACCATGGGGGCGCCATTTGAGTCCTGGCTGCTCCTCTTCTGATCCAGCTCCCTGCCATTGCACCTGGGAAAGCAGCAGAAGATGGCCCAAGCAAGGGCTTGGGCCCCTGAGACCCAGAAGAAGCTCTGGGCTCCTGGTTTCGGATCAGGCTAGCTCTGACTGTTCGGACCATTTGGGGAGTGAACCAGTGGATGGTGCTTTCTCTTTTCTGTCTCTCTCTCTCTCTCTCTCTGTAACTCTGCCTTCCAAATGAATAAATAAAAGTAAAATAAATGGGATCCCCCATCATTCCCTTCCAGTCCTGTACCCCTCTTGCCCTATGGCTGACACCTCCCACTAGGGGCACCCTTTGCCACTTGGCTTTACCAGGATTAAAATCTGGGGAGGGAGAGTCTGTTTTTTTGTCTTGTTGGTTCACTCCCCAAATAGCCAACCCAAACTCCATCCAGGTCTCCCAAGTGGGTGGAGGGACCCAAGCACTTGGACCTTCTTCTGGTTCTTTCCTCCCAGGAGCGAAATCAGAAGTGGAGCAGCAGGGGCTGGCACCGGAGCTCTTACAGGGTGCCGGCATGGCCGGCAGCACTTAACCCAGAGCGCCAGAGCGCAGGCCCAAGGCTGTGCAATTTCTAAGAGGTCTCTCCATACTGTCCCCAAATCAGCAGGGGTGCGCATCTGACTCCGCGTGGGGCTGATGTGGCTGAGAGCCGTGCCTGCTGTGTTCTGCACAGAACTGGGCGGGGCAAAGACATTGACTATGGTTTCTGTGAGAGTGACTTCGTTCTGGAATCCCCTGTCCTCGTCGTGGGTCCGCCTGCGGTCCGAGGGCGTGGGTCAGCTCGCCAGGGTCAGGAACGAGCAGTCCTGGGGTCATGGGCCCCAAGCGGCAGGCTGACAGTACCGTGACGGATGGGGGTTTGGCAAGGCGGTGCTCCCAGCGAGACGGCGACACGAGCGCGCCTCCACCGGGCGCCGCGAGCACGGGGAAGCGGGCTCCCCGGAGGCCGGCGCACAAAGACCGGCTTCCTGTGCTGAAGAGCGGCGGGTCAGCAACTCCAGCGTCAGGACCGGGACTTCGGCAAACCTCTGCGGAACGCGAAGCTGACGCTGCCACTTCATCCCAGCGACACCGGGAGCTGAGCAGCGTGTTGCGGATCTTTCGTAAAGTTTCCATTCTGAAATTTCCCTCTGCAGTTTCCTCCTCCCCCGGCGAGAAAATGAGGGGGCCGTCTCCGGAGTGTGTGTCGCCGTCCAGCACTCAGGAGAGGTCCCGTCCTCTGGACACCGGCCTCTCTGGCTGAGCCGGGAGCCCCCAGACTAGCGGCTGGGAGCGCAGCAGACACGCGACCCCTGGCCATCAGACAGGGCGCCCCGAGAGGCCTCAAACACACCCCCAACGCCCCGCCTGGGAACCCGGGGCGCTGGGTCGCCACCGGCTTCCCCCCAGAAGTTCTGGAGCCTGCGGGCTTCGGACCCGACAGGCTCAAGGGGCCGGGGGCAGCTCTCGCCGCGACCGGACAACAGCGGGCGCTTCCAAGGAAACACGCTCGGGACCGGCCGCTCAGTGGCAGGCGACCAGGGCCCCGAGAAGGGCCGGGACTTGGGGGGCGCGGCCCGCACCCCTACACACACCCACAAACGCGCGCGCGAGGCCTGCAGGAGACGCTGGGACCCCAGCGCACCTCCGCCGGCGCCGCGCACCACCCGGTGACAGCCCCCGGGTAGGGGGAAGAGAGACAGGCCTGGGGGCGGGGGGCGAGAGAAAGGCATCAGAGGGCCGGGCACCGCCGAGCCCCCGCAAGGACCCCGAGGCGCGGGAGCCGGGCCGCGTGGGGGAAAGGCCCGGGTGGCGGCGGCGCTCGCGCGCGGACCCTTTAAGGTTCTCCCCGCCCACCGGCGG